TGATCTCTGACCATAAGCCTATATTATTCTCACTGTCTCTTCCAGATCTCTTTCATTTTTCTAATACACCTCTAAATCTTTCTCGTTTCTACTCTCCACAGTTTATCTGCTGAATGTTGCTCACAGTTGCACTTGGATCAACCATTATCTGACTTGGATGCTGATCAACATCTTAGCATCGTAAATTCTGCCTGGCTTAAGGTAGCAAATGCACCTTGCCTGTTGCTTCTGATGCTCTCTGTGAAAGCTTCTTGAGATATTTTAGTGACAAAATTATTAACTTAAGGCTTAGCGTCTGCCCCACTTTAACTTTAACTGTCTCTCCAATTATGTCATCTACCTCTGCATTTTTGGATGTTTTTGAACCTATCAACCTCCAGGAATTGAAGCAAGTGATTGACAAGCTTAAACCTTCATTCTGTTCTAGCGATATCATTCACCCGAGATTTTTAAAATTAATTATCGATTCGATTGGGCCAGGTTTGGTGTCTCTTATTAATAAGTGTCTCCAAACCGGCTCTGTTCCTGCCAACCTTAAAGTCGCTACGGTCACTCCTCTGCTCAAGAAGCCTTCAGTGGATCCTTCTGTCCTAAAAATTTTTCGCCCTATTTCTGTTTTACCTTTCATTTCAAAAGTTTTGGAGAAAATTGTGCTGAATCAACTTCAACATTTTCTGACTAGTAATTGTATTTATGAGGTTTTTCAATCTGGTTTTAAGTCTGCTCACAGCACTGTGTCCGCCCTTTTGAGAGTGTTAAATGATATTTACCTCTCTACTGATTCCGGAGACTCGGTGGGTTCTTATTCTTTTAGATCTATCGGCTGCTTTTGATACCATAGACCACTCCTCACTGTTATCTAGATTAGAGTCTTGGGTAGGTCTAAAAGCAAACGTTCTGAAATGCCAGTGAGTTAGAAAGTCTATCCGTTTTTAGATCCTCGCGCGTGTGGAACCTAGGTATTCTAGTCGACCAGCATTTAAAATTTGATAAACATATCTCTTCTGTCATTGGGTCCAGTTTCTATGAAATTGTTACTCTTCTGGAAAGCACTTTGGTCAGCCTGGTGGCTGTTGTATATGTGCTCTACAAATAAAATGAACTTGAACTTGAACTTTCCCAGATGCTCTAATAGTTTCAGGCAGCCCATGTTTATTTCAGCACTGATGATGCTCTGCTAGTATTTAGTGAAAGGCAGTAGATGTTGATGGATGTCATATCGTTCAGTTGTGTTGGTTTGTGTTTTCTATGCTCTGTGCCGTACAGCCGGGTGTGGGAGGGGCCCGCTGGGTGACCTCTGACCCCGCCTGCCATTAATCACTCCGCTCCTGATGGGTCTGTCCCACTGGGAAAATCAACCCAGCAAGGCATGATGGGAGGGTCAGCCTGGGGCCAATCAGAGCGCAGCTCCAACCAACAGTGGCGCCACACTGAACTACAGGAACCTCAGCAACCGTGAACCTACCCTGTTTATTTAGTTACTGTCGGAGAGGGTTAACTAACCAGCAACACTGAACTTCTGTTTAAATTCAGATTACATTTACATATAGAGAAAGCTAGTATATTATACATATTTATATAATATAATATAATTTTGTTTTTTTTTAAAGAAGTACTTTCTGCTCACCAAGACTGCCTTTATTTGTTAAAAAATACAACAAAAACAGTAATATTGTGAAATATTTTTACAATTTAAAACAGCTGTTTTCTATGTGAATATCAGTTAAACTGTAATTTATTTCTGTGATGCGCAGCTGAATTTTCAGCATCATTTCTCCAGTCTTCAGTGTCACATGATCTTCAGAAATCAGTACCCTTTAAAAGTTTGGTGTCAAGATTTTCTTTCTTGAAAGAAATTAATAATTGTATTTATTAAAGATGCATTCAATTGATCAAAAGTGACAGCAAAGACATTTATATTGTTACAAAAGATTTCCATTTCAAATAAACGCTGTTCTTTTGAACTTTCTGTGAATCCTGAAAAATAAAATGCATCACAGTTTCCACAAAAATATCGTGCAGCACAACTATTTTCAACATTGATGATAATCAGAAATGTTTCTTTAGCAGCAAATCAGCATATTAGAATGATTTCTGAAGATCATGTGACACTGAAGACTGGAGTAATGATGCTGAAAATACAGCTGCGCATCACAGAAATAAATTACAGTTTAACAGATATTCACATAGAAAACAGCTGTTTGACACTATAATAATATTTCATATTTTTACTGCATTTTTGATCAAATAAATTGGTTTTGGTGAGCAGAAGAAACCCCAAACTGAAATGCAGTGTTTATATTGAGCGTCTAGCTGTGTTGAGTATTGTGTGTGATGTAGCTGCAGTCAGTATTAATCATTCAGGGTTGTTTCTATTATGTGTCGTCCGTTCTCTAGTCTCTGTGTGCGCTTGTACCTATAAAAGCTTGGCTTCCTGCTGACCGGCGTTTTAATTCAGCCATCAATAACCTCAGGCTGACCTCTGACCCCTGCGTTTGCACTGATTGTTTGATGGTCAGAGATGTTTCTGGAGCAGATGACGTGATCTGAAACACACCGTCTGATCTAATGTTAGCGTGTTCTCCCAGAATGCTGAGTTTCAATCTGACCGCCGTCTGAAGCGCTTTTGTTGTCATGTGTGCGTGTCGGGGCGCGTCACACGACCTTTGAACTTTGACTGTTTTTCATTGCACATTCTTGCATTTCTGTTTTATGTGCTGCTCTGTAGAGCGAGATCATAAAGCCGTCATGTGAGTGGTTTCTATAGGACGCTGTTGATAAAAATCAGTGTTAGATCAAAGTCTGTGTGTTACTCCAATCTCTGCCGTTCTGATGATCATTACAAACACCAAAACTCAGTTTTATCCCTTTCTATATTCTGAAGGTTTTTACTGAAGTTTGTTCATGTATTATATGCCTGGTTTTGTTATTGCACTTTTATCTAATTGCATCTCAAGACTTAATTAACAATGCATATTTTCCATTTTCTTAAAATGAGTTTGTTTCTCCGTTTCAGCAGCACTTACACACAGAGTTTATTTCTATTTATATTCTAAAGGTTTTCACTGCAGGATTTGTTCATATGTCATCCATGTGGTTTTATTATTGCATTTTTTTTTTTTTTACAATTTTGCATTAATTTACAATACATTTTTTTTTAAATATAGAGTTTTATTCCTCTCTATATTCTGAAGGATTTTTCTGAGGGGTTTGTTCATATACCATTCACACTGATTTATACATTTTATTCCTAAAAGCATGATGAAAAAAATTTTTTTCTGTCATTTGACAGTATTTTCTGATTTATGGAGTGATAAAAAGAGAATTCCAAAATCTTTAATTCTAATACATCAACAAAATCAAACAAACATTTTGAACCTGGCTTTAGGTTTATGTTCAGATGCAAATCAATGCACATTTAATTAGATAATGCGTCATTTGCATATTTAAACAAAAACCTGTAAATACAAAACAATTATCCTAATGTACTGTGATTAATCAACTGGGGAAAGTATTGTGCTATCTGTTAGTTAACACCCTGTTCACCTGTCTGAAGGTTTCTCCTATAGATACTTAAATGGGTTTTATTCCAGATCACGATCAGAGGGAGCCGCTGTGTACTTTTCATATGAGCGTTTAACTCTACAGCAAACGTCTCCACCCGCCCCTGACCTGAAGATAAACTGTTGACAAGATTAATGCATGGCTATCAAAAGTCTGGGGCGGGTTGGCTCTGTTATCCAGGTTAAGCTTGTTTGTGTAAAGCTGGCTAATATGTATTTTTCCGCCCGCAGCCCACCTGTCTTTTGAAGTGCAGGCGACTCGAACTCTCACCTCTATACAAACACATCTAACATGTGCATTTCAATGCATTTATGGAGTAAAAATGAAATGTGGGTTTTACTGAAAGCTGTTATCTGTTTTTTGTTTTTGTTTGAAACATCAATGAAAAAAAAACTCCAATTTAATATGTTGTGAATTTTCTTTTATCTTCTGTTGTTGTTTATTTGTTTGTTTGCTTTTGTTTCGGAAAAAAAATAATGGAAAAGCAATTATAATATTTAAGAGATTTTATATTTTATATTATACTGATGTATAATATATACTGTGTGTGTGTGAGTGTGTGTGCGTGCGTGCGTGCGTGCGTGCGTGCGTGCGTGTGAGTGTGAGTGAGTGAGTGAGTTAGTTGGCTTGGCAACTAACTAAAATAAATTGAAGAACCAATACTACTAAATGGCAATAAATAAAAACTAAAACTGAAATAAAAATAAATTAACACTAAATGCAATATTAATAAAGTCAAAATTAATAAAGTCAAAAGTGTATATATATATATATATATATAAATAAAAGGTATTACAAAATTTTTATATAAACTACAATAGTATATAATGAAATAAAAATAAATAAATAATAATAATAATACTGGTAAATATTAAAATAAATTTTACCAGTGTTATTTTATGTTTTTTGTTTGTTGTTGTTTTTTTTAGTTTTTAGTTTTGATAATGTCTATCAAAACTTATTTAACTGTCAATAAAATGTCATATATAATCTATATACTCTATATAATGTATAATATATAATTAAAAATCAGATATTTCAGATTCTAACATCTGATTGGATGAGCCTGTACACACACACACGCACACACACACACATCGGTTGAGTTCTATATTAACATGCTGTTCATTGATCTCTGATTGTTATGTTGCCAGGCAACCACACACATCCTTCGGTGAACTCTATACCTGTGCAGAGGAGTGTTTAATAGGATTATTGTGATTTATTCTTCATGTCGTGATTTTATTGATCATGGGCTGGGCGTCTGTTGTTGTGTTCCTTTTGCCACTGATTTATAAAGCAGTGAATCATGTGTTACCGTGATTTTACTGCAGTTAAGGTGTGTTGGGCGTGACGTGAGGCAGTAAAACCACTGTACTGTGCGGCCGCGAGTGATTTATTGGTTTCTGATGGGTTCTGTGTTGGTGTTTGCGCAGGGACTCCGGTGAACAGGATCCCCATCATGGCGAAGCAGGTTCTGGATCTGTACATGCTGTATAAGCTGGTGACGGAGAAGGGCGGACTGGTGGAGGTCATCAACAAGAAGATCTGGAGAGAGATCACCAAGGGTCTCAACCTGCCCACGTCCATCACCAGCGCCGCGTTCACGCTCCGCACGCAGTATGACACACACGCACACACACACACACACACACACACACTCACACACACACACACACACACAAACACTCCATGTGACTCCAGACAGACTGATGACGATCAGATCAGATCTCTGTGTGGAGCACAAACATATATCTCACTGCATTATTACAGTTAATGGCTAAATGAATGTTTGGAAATGTAAACTGATGTTTCCTACTTAAACCCATTTCTTAGCTTCTCAAAATACTAGTGTTCTAATCATTTTGGCCACTACTGTATTTAGATGGTTTATATCTTTGAGATGCCCGTAAACAGAGGATTTGTCGGCTCTTGTCCCTGTATCTCTCTCTCTCTCTCTTTGCTGTTTCTCCCTCTTCACTTCACTTCTGTAATTAGCTTGAGGTGATAGATTTATTGATTTATTGATCTATTGATTTGTTTTGGATGGCTTTAATGTGGGGGTGGATGCATCTGTAGTTGGATTGAGTAGCAACTAAACTGATGCTTTCAGTTGTTTATAAGAGTGCAGTACGACACATTCTGCTATCAGTCCCACCAGCGCTTTTTTTTTTCTTCAATAAAAATGGCTGAATTTGTGCCAGTAATTTCCAGAATTTTGCTGATTTTTTAGGATTAATACATTTATCATATTATACCATGTTAGATCTACAGTGGTATACATAAAACTGAAAAAACAATGCTGTTATTTTTGTATCTTACAAAATTCTGATGATTCATTCATTCATTCATTCACTCACTTGTTTGTGTATTAATTAATTAATTTATTTATTAATTTATTTATTTATTGCTATCATTGGCTGATTTGGTGGCAGTAATTAAAATAATTTTGTTGTATTTTTTTTTACAATCAGGATACTACATTTACCATATTATACAATGTTAGTTGTACAAAAGTCACACATGACAGAAAAAAATTGTGGCAGTAATTTCCAGAATTTTTTTATTTATTTTTTTATTTTTTTATTAGGATACCACATTTACCATATTATACCACATTAGATATGCAGTTTATTTTTTGTGACAGACAGCAGCAGGTTTATTAGGCTGCTGTCACTTTAAGACCTAAGTCACGGATCCAAAATATTAATGCACATCTAATTTTTTTCCCCGACTGTTTGTTCATTTAATACATAACCGACTGTGTTTATATGAATCACACATAACTTGTCAATAACTTTTAGTTGTACTGCACTTTCTGTGATTAATTTGTGGTTAAATGGCGAACTATACTGGAGCGCCTGTGCTGTATTTAAATGCATTTTGCAGGTTTTCCTGCAGAATCAGTGCACAGAATGAGAATGGAATCCACAGGTGGTGTTGACGTGTGTCTGGTTTGTCTGTCTCAGGTATATGAAGTATCTGTATCCGTACGAATGCGAGCGGAAAGCGTTGAGTTCTCCCAGCGAGCTGCAGGCTGCCATCAACAGCAACCGGCGCGAAAGCCGTCGATCCAGTTACAGCAACAGCCTGTTCCGCTTTAGCCCCTCCTCCGGCTCCGCCCCTCACCTCCTGACCCCGCCCAAGATGCACCTGTCAGCGCTGGGGGCCATAGGGGCCCTGAATGGACTGCAGGCGTCCCCGGGGCCATCTCTGAAGAAGGGACTGAGTGAGTGATGCAAAAATAAATCTTAAATTAGCAATGCAATTAGATCAAGCAACAACAATCAGACAATTATTAAACAATATTCATGACATGCCTACAGAACTCATATTTATTTTCACAGGGTGTTTTTATAGAGTCTGTAAATTCGTGCAGAGATTGGACACATGCTGGTGTTTGTGCTGTTTTAGTGTTTAGTCTGGTGTTTGTGGGGTTACAGCGCCTCCTGTCGACATTGACATGAACTGCAACTCAAGACATTTACACTAGTTCAGTGGTATTGAATGAATGCGTTGTCCCTCATAAGACTTCTCTTTTTCATATTTTTCTCACACACACAC